AAGTCACGGGTTCAAGTCCTCCAACGCCCAAAACAGGGAACCAACAAACACAGTTAGTGTACACACAGACAAACACACACACACACAATACCAGTCACGGAATCGAATCCCGGAAAGCACAAAACAGGCAACAACAAAATTAGTGTACAGCCCGCATCTCCCTGCAATTCATTGCAATCCAGTTCCTGAGCCTGTATTCGTGCCAGTTCCGAACCATACTTGGAACCCCACTTGTGTGTTGTGTGTGTGTGCCGCTCGTGCAGTGCGGAAAAACTAGGTGCGGCACACAAAAAGAGGAAACAAACAACAAAAAGACCTGGGATGCAAGACGCCTGTGCAGGCTTCCATGCAGCCTGCACAGCCGGGCGCGCGTCCTGGGTATCCTGAGCAAGAAAAAACATCTTTTTTGGGGGGGGGCGGGAAAGGGGGGGCTGCGTGCACTGAGATATGCCTGAATCCGGGTTCTTTTCCTGTTGGTGCATGTTACAGGGAGGAGGGGGCAATAGATGAGGAAGGTAGATGCCACAAGTGTTGATTGATATCATAGTACAGAATGTGAATTGACTCTGTTTTTTATTCGGACTCTTCACGTATAGCCTCTGAGGATCCTACACAGACATATGTTGGTTTCCTGCGGATTATCCATCATTGCTCTATCCAGCTGAGCTAAGAATGCAACTCACCCAAAAGAGTCAATGCAGCCGCCACAACAAAACAAGCAGCTTATTTTATTTATGTATGCGCTCATCCACGCGTCCCCCCGGACGCGGGGGTGGGATTAGTGTCTTATTGGCCGCCTGACCTGACGGTTGGTTGCCTTTAATTCAAAACATTTAAATCTATATGGTATGGAAATTGAATTTGTTGAGGTTCATATAACAAAACAGCCATCAATGTTTGATAATTAACTTCTAAATGAGATGGTTTGTTTTTTAAAATTCGGTTATATCTTAATCCTGGTAATATGACTCTGGGAGCGACACTCACGATCAACTGGTTCTCAAAATTGAGTCAGCAATTACAAGCTGGTAAATTTGAGCCACAAGCGTGGCCTTATCTTATCGTACAGAAAGCCCTCACCGTGGTGCTGGACAGCATATACGATCCGGAATTTCTGGACTGTTCTCACGCGAAGCGTGCAATACTCCAGGTAGACCGAAGGAGGAGAGAGATAGATGGTGGGAGGGAGGAGGGAGATGGCACAACGTAGGTAGAAGAGGGAGATGGATGGAGCAATGAGGAAGATACGTAGATGTGGGAGAGAGCAGGGAGATGATGTGAAGGAGGAGGGAGGGAGGTGGCAGTGGAAGGGAGGAGGGAGATGGTGCAAGGGAGCAGAGAGTTAGATTGCTGGATGGAGGAGAGGTAGATGGGGAGGTAGGGAAGACGGAGATGGTGCAAGGGAGGCGGGAGATGATGTCAGGAAGGAGGGAGGAGGGAGGTGGATGGAGTGAGGGAGGAGAGAGGCGGAATGCTGGGGAAGGAGGGAGATGGTGCAAGGGAGGTGGGAGGTAGACGGCAGGAGGGCGGAGTAAGATGGGCACTTATGCACATGTGGGCACAATGAGAGCTTGCAATTCTGAACTGTTGTTGGCCGCAATCTCAATGCCCGGAGGCTTCTGAACTAGTCGTGGTTAACGGGGACGCTTTCAGGGGTCAATGGCTTTGTGTTTTTTTTTTTTTGTTTCTTTTCCCCCACCTGTTTTGGTTGTAGGTCAATTTTGTTGTGCGCCAAATTTGTGTCTTTTGGACTATTGGAAACAGCTGCGGTGAAATTTCTGTACGTTGTATTCGGGGGCAGAAGGTAGTATTTCTGCTATCTACATGATTATTTACCTGATCCTTTCAACCACCAGTACATCTGAGCCTCGTTTTGCATGGCGGATTTGCAATGCGTGACAAGCTTTGCTGAACTGCCAGCGGCACACTTTTTTTCTTTTTTGCAGTCACCTGAAATGGTTTCACCCAGTAGACCCGACATTTGCAGACACAGAGATTCGATCCCTAGACCTGTGCCCAAACCCTGTACATTGACCCTGTGTGCTGAGTGAGATTCGATCCCTAGACCTGCCCTTTACCCTGTACATAGGCCCAGCTATCTGTGTAAGACTCGATCCCTAGGTCTGTAGATTAGGAGTTAGGTCTGTTACCGTTAGGCTTAGGAAGGTCTGTTCTAGAAGTCTCTATCTGAGTCTACTGAGGTCTAGAGTCTGTTTGTAAGTCTGTAGGCTCTAGAAGGTTGTAGGTCCCTGTAGGCCAGTCCAGTCAGCAAGTACCAGGGGCAGGGGCTGCACGTGGGGAAGGTTCTGGACCACGCTGTGGGTTCCACACGTTTTGGCCAGAAGGCCAAACGTTTGGAAGCTTCCCTGGGTCACACGTTTTGGCCCAGGCCCACACGTTTTGAGGCAGGGCCCAGGTACCTCTGAAGAAGTATAAATAAAGAAGCATCCGGCCATTCATTCGTTCGCCTGTGTGCCATGCGGAGAGGAAGTGGGCTGTGAAGAAGACAGCGGCCATAGCGAACCAGCGAAAGAGACACCGGCGGCCATAGCTAGGAGGAGGAAGACAACGACGACCATAACCGCCCAGCTGTTGGTGTATACAGGGTGTACAAAGTGTGTGTGTGTGTACAGCGTGGACATTCAGGGTGATCCTCATACGTGCGTTCATGCGAGAGTGTGGGAGAGTGAGGCTGGTGGTAGAGACAGTGTTTGGCGGCCATAGCTGCAAGTTGTACAGTTGATTCAGACTGAGTTTAATACAAGTTCATTGTTGTTTCTGAGTTGGAAGAGTTCGCTTTTGCCATCGGTTCTCAAGTGTGCATGTTGTGAGCAAGTCCAGAGTCGAGTCTGGTTGCATTGGTATCGGAGCAGGTACCCGTTGTCCACGCCGGCGGAGCTGCAGCAAGCGACGAAGAAGGAAGAGGCCACCATAGCCGGAGCTCGGCAGAAAGAGACAGCAAGAGAGAGAGAGAGAGAGGAAGAGAGAGAGAGAGAGCAGGGGGACGACAGCCATAGCTGCCAAGCTCGGGAAAGAAGATGGCCAGCAAGAAGAAGAGAGAGATGCAGAGAAACGAAGAAGAAAGTGACGAAGAGGGAGACAAAGTCAGCCATAGCCAAGGTGAAGAAGACAAAGGTTTTGACGAAGAAGAAGATCCACCATAGCCGAAAGGTGGAAGGGTTGACCAACGTTGACTGAGAGTTGACCAAGGGTGTTGACTGGGTGTTGACCGAAGTTGACCAGGGCGTTGACCAGGAGTGTTGACCGGCGAGTTGACGAAGACCGTTGACCGGAGCGTCGACCCAGTTGGAGCGAGAAGATTACCGGTACCATCCCTCCAAGCCCTGGCCTATCCTCTTACCCCGTGGATGTGCACCTTCACCTTGGTACCTGCTGACGTTAAGTCTGYCAAAGTCAGTCAGTCCTATCTCCCTGTCACTTCTGTCCAGGTCGGTAGGATTTTGTGTATGTGGTCATAAGACCGTAAGTCTAGCCCGAGTAGTGAATCAGGGCCCCTCGATAGAAGTTAACCTGTTCGGTCTACGTGTTGAGGCCCGAAATTGTTGTTGATTGTGCACCATCACCATGGTGGACCTCAGGCCTGGAACTAGTACCACCCCCTACAGCAAGGAGCAAGAGGAGAGAGCTGCCGCTATCCTGCAGAGGAAGGAGAGAATGGAGAAAAGGGAACTGATTAAGCAGACCAAGATGCTGGCCCTGCTGGAGGAGCAAGAGGCAAAGAAGAATCAGATGGAGGAGGAGCTGAAGAAGGAGCAGGAGGAGAAGATGGCGGCTATACAAGAGGAGGTGGAGAAAGAAGAAGAAGAAGATGAAGAAGTAGAGGAAGAAGAGCCATTGGAGAGAAGGAGAGGGGAAGCCATCACAAGCAAAGAAATCGAGATTGCAAAGATTGCACAGGAGTGGGCCGCACATTTGGAGTTGGGGGAAGACAGGGAGGCCGAGATGGCCATACCCGAGGAAGAGAGAAGCAGCAAGGAGACAAATTGAGACAGAAAGGGACCCGGTGAGGAGGAAGGCGAAGGAGGAAGAACAGCAAACGGCATGGAGATACCTGTTGTCCCAAGAGAGGGTAAGACGATTGGAAGCGGTGGAAAGGGCAGAGAAGGACCTGAACGAGGCGGAAGCCAGGATGGGGAAGATTGGGGCTGAAACTGAGATAGCCACCAAACTCGCTACCCTGACCCAAAGTGTAGAGTCGTTACTATTTGCGCACCGCGAGCAAAGGCCGTACATCCACACCTTAGAAGTAAAGATAGATGCAATGCGTGCTGGGTTCAAGGATTTTGCGAGTGACATGATGAAGTGCTTACTGGCTGAAGTCCATAATGCAATTGGTAAGACCCGAGAGTTGTGCACTCTCGCCATTGAAGGCGCCAAGTTGGCGACTCCTAAGGAAGAGGATCCGGTCCCACCACGCTGTGAGAAAGTCAAGGTCTGTTTTCCCGAACCCTTCAGTGGAAAGAAGGGTGAGGATTTCGATAACTGGGAGGCCAACTTGCACTCCTACTTCTACTTACAGGGAGTCACGCCCGAGGACCCCGTTTTGGTGGCCTTCCAGGCCCTTCAAGACGAGGCAGCTAGTTTTGCTAGGTCGCTAGCCCGCGATGTGAACTGTGATAACGACACTCGCCTGTGGAAGAGTGGGCACACCCTCAAGTCCGCCATGGACGAACTGATTGCGGTCCCTGGGCATGGAGTAACCGATGCCCAACTTCTTAACCTCTTCTATCGTGCCCTCCCTGACAACATTCAAGGACATTTCTTCGAGAAGAAGAACCAGCAGGGCATGACTTACGATACTCTATGTCGGGAGGCAGTTGCATTTGCCGCCCAAGCATCGCCAGTTACCACGTTCTGGCACAAAGATCTGCCAAAGGGAAAAACGTGGAAGGGACGCACCATCGCAGGCCAAATTAAGGCCAAAGATAGTCTGATACTAACAATGGAGGAAGGTGGTGCCGACGAGGTTCCCTACTCTAACATCGAGTGGGGAGTAGAGGAGGAGGAGAACAACGACGTAGTCCAGGGGAGAACCTACGTTGCTGTCGTGGCCGGAGGGAGGCCGCAAGGAGGAGGACAACGGTCCGGTCAGAATGGTCGGGCCCTAGGTGGCCGAGGACAGGGCGGCCAGGGGGTTGGCGACAACGGCAAACGCCAAGAGGGAGGAAGGGGAGGACCCCCGTCTAACCGTCCGCGTTTTAGTCGGTCACCCCCAGAAAGGGAAGGTGGCATCCAGGCTTCGGGCCGACCCTGGTTAGATCTGGGTATAGATCAAAGAGTATGGCAAGAACGCATTAATAGTTCTCAATGCGTATTCTGCGGGGACCCAGATGTTGCGTCTGGGGCAACAAAAGACAGCTGCCGGTAGGGGTCACAACTGCCCCTACCCCAGGAGTATGTGGATCTGAGCGTGCGCGCGAAATAGAGTCTCCCACACCACATATCTCCATGGCAGAGGTTGCAGGCCCGCGTCTAGTAAGGTGTCCAGAGACTGCTTGTGTTAGGGTCTCTCTAGACGCTTCCCTCATAAGCTTAGCCGAGGAGTTAAGAGAGAGGAGGCAAGCCTGGGCCAAGATGAAGAAGGATAGTAAAGGAGTCTCCCGTTTTACATTGTTCTAGGTACGGATTGGGGAGAGGCAGTAGGAGCCACACTTTACCTTAGAGAGCACGAGTGTAGGCTTCCTAGCGCGTCAGGCAAAGTCAAGCAAGTCCGCCTGTTCCATGAGTCTGGGGTAGATAATCCCCTTGCCCATTGCTGCCTCAGCGCTCCTGCGTTCGCCAGACTTGTGCAAAAGAAGCAGCTCGAAGAGCAGGTGTTCGTAGCCTATGTTAGGCCGATATCTGATCAGCCAAAGGAAGAGGAGAAGATCCATCCTACTATCGCCAGTCTATTGGAAGAATACAAGGATTTATCTGAAGCACCCTCAGGAGTAGTGCCCAGACCGATCCACCACCGTATAGAGATAGAACCTGGCAGTAGAACGCCTAAGGGGGCAGTCTATAGGATGTCTCCTAAGGAGTTAGAGGAGCTTCGCAGACAGTTAGATGAGCTCCTAGAAAAAGGATGGATCGGGCCTAGCTCGTCACCATTTGGCGCACCTGTTCTATTCGTCCCAAAGAAAGAGGGGGAACTATGTATGTGCATAGACTACAGGGGACTGAACGCCATCACAATTAAGAATGCAGAGCCATTGCCCTGTATAGACGACTTGTTGGATTGTGTGTAGGGATGCAAGTATTTCTAAAAGATAGATCTGAAATCAGGATATCATCAAATAGAAGTGCACCTTGACGATCAGTACAAGACGACGTTCAGGACGAGGTATGGGCATTACGAGTTCATAGTGATGCCATTTGGACTTACTAACGCACCAGCTACATTTCAGCGCTGCATGAACGACTTGTTTGGACCGTGGTTAGATAGATTGGTCGTAGTAGTTTTAGACGACATCCTAGTATTCAGCAAGACCCTCGAGGAAAATGAGGGCCATCTACAGCAGATTCTAAGCAAGCTAAGAGAGTCTAACTTTAAGATTAACCCGCAGAAGTGTGAATGGGCCAAGACACAGGTCCTTTACCTAGGCCATGTATTAGTTGGAGACGGTATTCGTCCCGAGGACAATAAGATTGCGTCAATTAGAGACTGGCCGACTCCTAAGACACTGACATAGTTGTGTTCGATCGTAGGACTGGCTAACTACTACAGGAAGTTCGTAAGAAACTTCTCCACGATCGCTGCTCCCCTCCGTAGGTTACTAAAGAAAGAGACGATCTGGAAATGGGATCAAGATTGTACGTCAGCCTTCAAGAAGTTAAAGAAGGCCTTATTTGAGTACCCTGTCCTCAAAGTTGTTGATCCGTCACTACCATTTGTTGTCACTACAGACGCTAGTCAGTATGGCATAGGTGCCGTTTTGCAGCAAGATGACGACAATTGTTATAGGCCCGTAGAGTTCATGTCAGTCAGGCTGCCCTCAGAGAAAGCCGCAGCATCGACATATGAGAGAGAACTCTACGCTCTCAGGAACACTTTAGACCACTGGAAGCACTACCTGCTTGGGAGGCACTTCAAGGTATATTCTGATCACGAGACTCTTCGATGGCTAAAGACACAGGCCAAGATGACGCCCAAGTTGACTAGATAGGCTGCTGAGATAGATCACCCGTGAAAGGAAAGTACAACGTGGTAGCCGATGCTCTGAGCAAGGGAGCTGATTACTTCGGCGCGATAGACATAAGGCCGACCTGCAGCAAAAGATCAAGGATGCATATGCTCAGGACCCGATCTACAGTGAATTCATGAAGAGAGTAAGGGAAGCCCCAGATAGCGAGCCGAACTACCAAACCACGAACAGGCTACTGTTTGAGAAGACCAATGTTGCTGACAGATTGTGTCCCCAATAGTGAAGAAATCCGCAGCCTGATTCTAGGGGAATGCCACGATACGGAAGGACACTTCGGATGGCAGAAGACCTTAGCTAACCTGATGGTGTCACGCGTGGCCAGGAATGAAAGCAGACTGCATAGAGTATGTGCGCTGCTGCAAGGTATGTCAGCGTAACAAGACTACAACAAGAGCCCCGCTAGGTCTTCTTAGACCCTTGCCTATTCCAGCAGGACCCGGAGATTCGGTGTCCATCGACTTTATGGAGAAGACCTTAGCTAACCTGATGGTGTCATACGCGAGGCCAGGAATGAAAGCAGACTGCATAGAGTATGTGCGCAGCTGCAAGGTATGTCAGCGTAACAAGACTACAACAAGAGCCCCGCTAGGTCTTCTTAGACCCTTGCCTATTCCAGCAGGACCCGTAGATTCGGTGTCCATTGACTTTATGGATACTGGGGTCAAAAGTAGGCACGACAAAACTCACGACAAAACTCAAGTCATGGTCATAGTAGATAGATTTAGTAAGTATGCGGTGTTTGTTCCCCTGCCTTCAGAGGCACGCACAGACTTAGTCATTAGTAAGTTTCTTGACTTCTGGGTAAGTGAGCATGGCATGCCGCTGTCCATAGTTAGTGATAGGGACACACGGTTTACTAGTCAGAATTGGCAGGATCTTATGAAAGTCTATGGGTCGAAGTTGTTGATGTCGTCAGCACGACACTCAGAGACTAATGGCCAGAAAGAGCAGATGAATAAGATCTTGCAACAGCTACTCAGAATGTATATTAGACCAGATCAGATAAACTGGGATGAGATGCTTCCCAAGGTAGCAAGTGCCTACAATAACAGTGTTCACCTAGCTACTTGCAGGACCCCTAACGAGATACACAGGTCCTTTCGACCTAGGCGACCATTTGAGGGACTAAACCGGGACCAGATACAGAGACTACCACCCGGCAGACGAGAGTTCGCGTTGCAGCAGGAGCAGGAAGTCGTTAAGGTCATAGACAATCTGAGAAAGGCCCAGCATCGGATGATAGAGCAAGCTAACAAGCACTGCCGACCTTCACAGTTCCAGGTAGGCGATCTAGTCTGGGTCAAGTCAAAGGAGTTCGCACCAGAGGAAAACATCTCGCAGAAGCTCCTACCTGCGTATAGAGGACCATGGCCTGTCCTAGAAGTCAAGGGAGGAGAGGACGACCCGTCTTATACAATAGAAATCCCAGCACACCTCCACACGTACCCAGTCATGCGTCTAAGTTGCTGCCTTGCACCACGTCCGACAGATTTCCTTCCCGAAGGTCAATGATTCCGCCAGACATGGATGGTGCATATGACATAGATCACATAGTGGAAGAAGACGTGTTCAGRACTGGRGRTCRYGGTCRTCCCCAGAAACAGTATAAGGTTAGGTTCGCATACCAGGAACCCGAGGACGACCRATGGTTTACAAGAACAGAGCTTCTAGAAACCGCTCCCGACATAGTACATGCCTATGAGAGGGAAAGAAAGGGCAAAGGTCCTACCTTGAGTTAGAGTGTTCTCGGAGGACCTCAAATTTAGGACGGCGGGAGTGAAATGGTTTCACCTAGTAGACCCGACATTTACAGACACAGAGATTCGATCCCTAGACCTGTGCCCAAACCCTGTACATTGACCCTGTGTGCTGAGTGAGATTCGATCCCTATACCTACTCTTTACCCTGTACATAGGCCCAGCGATTTGTGTAAGACTCGATCCCTAGGTCTGTAGAGTAGGAGTTAGGTCTGTTACCGTTAGGCTTAGGAAGGTCTGTTCTAGAAGTCTCTATCTGAGTCTACTGAGGCCTAGAGTCTGTTTGTAAGTCTGTAGGCTCTAGCAGGTCGTAGGTCCCTGTAGGCCAGTCCAGTCAGCAAGTACCAGGGGTAGGGGCTGCACGTGGGGAAGGTTCTGGACCACGCTGTGGGTTCCACACGTTTTGGCCAGAAGGCCAAACGTCTGGAAGCTTCCCTGGGTCACACGTTTTGGCCCAGGCCCACACGTTTTGAGGCAGGGCCCGGGTACCTCTGAAGAAGTATAAATAAGGAGGCAGCGTTCAGCCATTCATTCATTCGCCTGTGTGCCATGTGGAAGAGCTGCCTTGGTATCTTGTGCGTGGAGGTCCGCAGGTGCCCAGAGAGGAAGTGGGCTGTGAAGAAGACAGTGGCCATAGCGAACTAGAGAGACTCCGGCGGCCATAACTAGGAGGAGGAAGACGACGGCGGCCATAGCCGCACAGCTGTTGGTGTAGGAAGGGTGTTCAGAGTGTGTGTGTGTGTACAGCGTGGACATTCAGGGTGATCCTCATACGTGCGTTCATGCGAGAGTGTGGGAGAGTGAGGCTGGTGGTAGAGACAGTGTTTGGCGGCCATAGCTGCAAGTTGTACAATTGATTCAGACTGAGTTTAATACAAGTTCGTTGTTGTTTCTGAGTTGGAAGAGTTCGCTTTTGCCATCGGTTCTCAAGTGTGCATGTTGTGAGCAAGTCCAGAGTCGAGTCTGATTGCACACCATACTCACCACCAGCCATTTCAGTCCGGTTGCTCTGTTCACCCGAAAAATGCAAATTGGCTCAATTTTTTTGTTCTCAAGTTTGCCTGGGTGATGTACTGGTGGTTTAAGGGGGTGGAAAGTTGGTCCTACTTCTGGGGTTTTGCTTCTTGTGGAGCACCCCTATTCGTATTTTTAGTTGTGCTTTTTTTTTTTTTTGAGTGCTGTTGCCGATTTTAATATTCATGCAGCGCTGTGAGTTAGTGCGTGGCACTGCGTGCGGTGGAATGGAAAGCTCCATGGTATGCGTGGCTCAGTGGCTTTTTATTTTATTTTATTTTTTCAAAGGGATGCATCTGTAAGACAAATCGATGTTTCCACTGCAGGAAAAGGCTCAAAACACAATGATCGCGATATGGGCAGCTGAACTCTACTTGGACAAGGTGCGTGCTATTCTCTTTCTTTCTTTCTTTTTTCTTTGGTGTGTGGCACCGTGTGCTATTTTACACAAGTGGTAAGTCAATGAAGGCATTTTCTCATTTGTGCTCGATAATATGCTTTGATGGATCACGTGAGAGGATATTGTCTTGTTCGCTAGGTCTTGTTGTTTGCGGTTTTTCAAACGCCGCGCGCTCACAACCGTCTCCTTGTCTCTGTGATATCCCTCAATGCACCATTAGTAACAGTGTCGATGGCACTACCGTCTTCACCCGAATAGAACTCCCAGTCATTATCGCTGTATGTAGACTGAAAATTGCACCAAATACGGCTGTAATGACCGGGCGTTCTATTCGGGTGAAGACGGTAGGAGCAGCAATGACTGGCATCGAGACCAGAAGTACAGCGAAGGATGCATCACTGAGTATAGGAAACAGCAAAGGACGTTTCACTGAGTATAGACAGGATGCAGCAAACAATTCAGTGATGGACAGCACCCGAGAAACGAGAAGCCACGGGATGGAGAATCACAAAGGCATTGATGGAACGTCCCTCATGGAACCACCTACCTTCTTGCCAAGCCACCACTGGAATGCTGCCCGTACTGCATCTTTTATGTGGCTTGTGTGTCAAGCTGTGCAGGGCAGTGCAGAAGAGAGAGAGAGAGAGAGAGAGAGAGAGAGAGAGAGAGAGAGAGAGAGAGAGAGAGAGAGAGAGAGAGAGAGAGAGAGCTCTTGTGTATTTATCGGTGAACTATGATGCTTGGTTTTGAATAACATGTTGCCTGCTCAAGTTTCTGAGGATTGTTTTGTTCTTGGGTGATTGAGGCTTTGGCCATGCTTTGTTGAAAGTCGAAACTCTGAATAAGATTTTTAATAACATTTTTTTATGGCTATAGCCATGGTTGCATCCCTGCCGACCGCCGACCGTATTGCAGCCGACCAGTAGGGCCGACCGGTCGGCGGTCTGCCGACCAGTCAGAAAACAACCATCCACTAATTTTTTTTCAGATCTGAGTTGGAAGCTGTACTGCGCTTGCTGAGTACAGCCCAAATCCGCTGA